AAAAATTAAAAAAAAAAAATCTATAAAAAAATGTTTCTATTAAAACTATCCACATCTTCCAATTTCCAAGTTTTCGTCACTATTAGCCATTTGTAATGCATAAATCCAGATTCATAGAAGTGTGTCCACATGCATTTTTATTTGTATGCAATAATTCCTAAGAGCACTTGTGAAGTACTAACACACTGAAAAGTAGCATGTGTAACACATATGAGGGGGCCTGGCCTACATGTAGCTTCCCAAAGCTAACAAGTGTCCTTCCAAACTATTGAGCATGATACACCCCACCTATATGTGAAGGTAAGAGTTATCTCACAGTTGCTGCTGGCTGTACCAAATCCAGTTTTCTGAATAACCCACCCCAACTATGAGTCATGCATGCCAATTGATTGTGCAATCCCACAAGCTCCATTAGCAAGGTTCAATACGATTTCTAATGTTGGTAACAGTAATAGCTTAAGCAGGTTCCATGGATATTACACTACTATACCCAACTGAGGCCAACGTATTTTACTCCATCAACAACTAACAACACAGTTCAAACCATGCTATAAAATAGCTAAAGGCAACCTATTTGACACATGTGGAAATATTACCATATGGGCACAAGAAGTATGAAAAAGAATTCATCAAACAACATAGATGCATATCAGAAGAAGAAAAAATGAACAACGGGCATAAAAAAACAAAAAGGGTCAGTATCAGTAACATTAAGTGTTACATGTTCACTTTTAATATTTTGGTATCCAAAAATTAAATCCATGTATTTTTTTATAATATCACCCTTAATGAACATTTGGAGACCCATTACGTGCATGGATTTCATTCCTTCTACAATAATACATTTTTTCATTTTTTCCATGAAGTTTTATATATCCTTGAACATACACTGACAGTAAGGGATGGAAACTGAGAAAAGATATATTACACAAAAAGAAACCCACAAGGAAGTAAGAGTATATATCTTATAGAGTAAGTAAGAGTTATACCAAATAAAACAGACTTTACATTAAAATTAACAATGAAAAAGGAAGTTCATCCTACAAAGAGTCAAACAGCCAATTAACAATTGGAAATAAAATAAAAAATGTAAATATATAATATCTCAGCAATGAAGCACTGAATTCCATGGAGTAAGCACCAGTAAATTAAGATATAGAGTCCAAAATAATAATATTTGGAGAGTTTATCTCCACATGTTCATCAGCAGACTATAACGACAAAATTAACAAAGAAATATTGCAGTTAAATCATAGTGGACATATAATTAATAATTACATTACTGAGACCCTTAGAATATATTAAGTTCTCATGAGAAATGTCAAAAATGCTTTTGTTTTAAAGTTGAAAATAAAATATCATTAAGAAATCATGATTGAAACACAACATGAATTAAGGAGTAGTTTAAACAATGGTAACGTGAAATGTTTCTCTAGCAATCACAAGAGTTTGCTTAAATCTTTAGTTTTTATTTATTCTCCTTACCCTCTACCCCCAAAATACACACACATCTGGGGGTGGACATCTGGCATTGTGATAAAGATACCATTTGGAATGCTTACATTTGCCCCACAGTGCCCAGGTTCCTATCCCAGTTCTGTTCCGAATTTCTGTTGTTTGCTAGTACATAACCTAGGTGGCTGCACATGATGGTTCAACAATTGGTTCAATGCCAATCAACTGGGCAGTCCAGTCTGTACTCTCAGCTCATGGTTTTGGCCTGAACTACCTCAAACTGGCAGAGCCCCTTGGATAGTGAGAGCATAATGTTGAGATCTGTATCATTCCTCTCGACTCTGACTTTAAATTATTTCCTTGATTTCTACAGAGTAAATATTAAATCCACCAAATTCACTTCTTGTAGATGGAATGATACAGAATTACATGATAAACTCCTCAAAGACAGGTCGGTATTGATGAGAAGTAAAATTCAATAGTGAAAACTAGTTTAACAGCAAAAACTAGCACATGGAAAACACACCAGTATTGAAGACACACATGTATACACCAAATAAGGCAAGAAAAAACACCACTGTAGAAATGTAGAAGGAGGCCATTCATTCAGATCTTGACAAATTAATGAGAAGAAAATTAAATTTGGACATGGGGAGACAAGCAATGTGATTAAACAATAATACAACAAATTTCTGTCCACAAACAGGAGAATACAATTGGTTAAGAAGTCACAAAATCTCAGAAATGAACCTAAGAATCAGTAGTGAAGGGTTTTTTTTAAGATTTATTTATTTATTTATTTTATTGGAAAGGCGGATATACAGAGAGGAGAGACAGAGAGGAAGATCTTCCGTCCAATGATTCACTCCCTAAGTGAGTGCAATGGCCTTTGCTGCCAGGAGCCTCTTCTGGGTCTCCCGCATGGGTGCAGGGTCCTAAAGCCTTGGGCTGTCCTCGACTGCTTTCCCAGGCCACAAGCAAGGAGCTGGACGGGAAGCGGGGCTGCCGGGATTAGAACCGGCGCCCATATGGGATCCCGGGTGTGCAAGGTGAGGACCTTAACCACTTGCGCCATCTCGCTGGGCCCCAGTAGAGAAGGTTTTAAAGACCAGCAATGAAAAGGCTAATATTCTGTCAGATAACAACTGTCTACTGTATTACTTTTCACAGTTACATCTTAGATGCAAATTTCAACCTCTTGAATGGGTAGGTCAAGACATACATGTATATCCAAATATGGTTGAGGCAACAACTTCCCAAAGGATTTGGGTTAGTCAGCTAACACACTCTGTCCCATGCTCCCTTCACTGTTTGCTGAACAATCTCCTTATATATTTGATGTTTGTTTCATGTTGTTCCAAATCCTTCCTCTTAGAGATTTTCCTATCCCACATAGACTCTCAGGTTTTGGAAGACTCAAATGAAAAACTAACTAACCACTCAGTAATTTATTTGATAGACAAAGTCATCTTTTAACCTCAGCATCACACTGGTAACTGAGTTCACACAGCAATACTTTTAATGCTACTTTCTTGCCAAGCTAGAAGGAAGATAGTAAAACAAGGAGAAATAAGGGTTTAGAAGAATACATTCAAAAATTGTGGACTTTGGGGTCTTGGTCCTCGCTGTCATTTAATGAATAACACCACTTTATTTTTTCTTTTCAATACTGTTTATATAGCTAAGAGTGATGCATACCCATCTGGGACTGTGATTAGGGTGGGCCAACTCAGGTACCAAGGAAGGGGTGGGATACATCTTTGTTATCATCAGAACTTCTTTCTCTTACTCAATTAAAACAGTACTTATTAATGAACCTTCTGCACCTCTACTTACCTTCTACGGTTATTTAAAATTTTATTTTCTTATTTATTTCACAGGCAGGGACACACAGTAAGAAAGGCCGATTATTGCTGCCCCAGAATGGGCACAGCTGGAGCTGGGTCATACTGGAGCCAGAAACCTTGAACTCAATTCATATCTCCCACGTGGTTGGCAGAAAGCAAATACCAAACCAAAGAGCCAGGACCCAACGCTGGCATTTTGACATGGGCTGCAGTCTTTCCAAGAGGTATCCTGGCCACTGTTCCAAGTGCCCACCCCAACAATTATAGTTCCAATGGTTATGCTGCATATGAGGCCGTGAATTCTCTAGACGATACCTTATTTCATTTCTACATGTATGTAACACATACATACAGGGCCTATCACATATTTTCAGTGAATGCCAAATAAATGCACAATTTCCCCCATTAGTAATTTTCAATAGGTTTAACACAAGCCTATGATTTGAAAGATTCACGAACTATTTAACAAATGGTTATCGTGTAGTCATTTTGTTTTAGGAAGTGTGATAGGAACATGAAACTGAAATAATGGCGAATGACAAAATATTTTTTTCATTAGTTTCAGAGGGGAGATTGATCTCTCAGGGGAGAACAGTGAACTCTGATCTTGAGGAAAGGAAGATCCATGGGGAAATAACGTCACTGACAGAAATGTTAGACTACGAAGAGCTCAGCCTAATCTTGTCTTCCATTTGCCTGTCAGGTTATTATATTCCATCACAGCAGAATTCATTTTTTTTTTTAATCTTAAGTTGAAAAGTTCTAGAGGCAATGCTTACAGAGGGTCATTGTTAAACAAAAACTCTTCCAGGTTCCAGAACTTTATGTAAGGAAACGAAGAAGGCTGCTAATTAGTTTCTTCCATGGCCCCATGTATCAACTAAAGGGTCACTCTAGCTGGTCAGACTGGTGTGGAGCTTATCACTTTAAGAAGACAACTGTGTCATGGAAAAACTGAGTTGAGGGACGTTTGTGAAATAATTGAGGCTCAAGTCTTACGATGTCTGGGGGATACCTAGAACTCAGGCAAACCCGGAGAAACCTTAGCCCTTCACCAGGCAGAGCAGTTTCTTACCAAGCGGGAAGGGTGTACAAAATAAATTATATAAATGTTAAAAACATGTTTAGCTTTTCTTAAATCTTCTCACACCGCATACCCAAGGCCCATTTTGTCTAAACTCAACTGTGTGGGGAAACTCCCTGTAAACTCCCGCTTAGGTCGTGAGAGAACCGGTGCGGTGTTTCTGGCCAATTCGTTAACAGGAAGCTCCAGCTGAGGAATTTAAGTGGCTAAAGCTACTCCAGCCCCGTATGTAATGCCTCTCTTCATGACTTACCAATTCCTAAAATAGTACTGATTTCTTAGAAACGACGAGCGAGCTTGCAGACGGGCTAACGTGGCCATAGTACCTCAACCTCAGGTTTACAACTGGTGTTACTACCCGTCTCCATGGCAACTGGGCGACCCGAAAGCCAATCCTGGGGGGGGGCGACTTTTCGTTTACTCTTCTTAGTTTTCTTTGCACACTGTGCCGGTTTTAAGAGAACGCGAAAGAGAAATAAGAAGTTTTGTGAGGGAAGAAAGTATCCCTAATTCGCCTCTCTCCTTTCGGGGCTACAAAGAGGTGGCTACCGGAGAGGAAAGCGGTGAGAAGAGACGAACTAATGGTTGCTTCCGGCATCCGGTTTCCGCTGGCAGTCGGCTTCCGGAAGCTCTTCTCAAAATGCTGAAGTGCTCTGTGCAAGTCGCTGCTGCCGTAGCGATTGGAGTCTCTTCTCGGGCCTGAGCCTCGAGGCCGGGCTCCTGGGTGTCGTTAATGTTCGGGGCCACCGGGCGCCAAGCGATCGGAGCTCCAGCCGCCGGGAACAGCTGGTGAGGGATGGGTGTGAGTGCTGGCTGGAGGCCGCTGGACAGGGCATGGGCGCGGGGAGGGAGTTGGGATGGATGCTCTGAAGGAAGAGGCCAGGCCCTGAGTCGTCAGAAGGCGAACTCGGGAGACCTTAAGTCCTGTGAGGAAATACGATCCACCCTGGCTGGCTGCTTTACGATAGCAGAGAAATCAAACAGTGTGTACTGTAGGGGCAGTTCATCTCCCCCTAGTAGTTGACTAGGGAAAAGGCAGGGACCATTTATCTTAATCCAAGCTTTATTTTCCAACCCTCTTGTAACATATATCAGATGGTACTAAGTATCTAGGAGCACCAAATTCCAGAAATGCAGAGTTGTCGAAGTTTAGTAATAGAAGAGGCGTGACTCCCTCCTCCCGTCTTTTTGGGAGCTGGAGTAGCGGACCTGTTTCCATCATCTGGAACGGTCCTCCCTCAAAAAGAGTTGTGTAAAGGTATACTCTAAGGGCGTGCAAGGGCCAGGCTTGGATTGGTATCTGTCTGTCTATGGTGTCACATCCCCAGTGATGATTTTGAAAGGGAGGTGCACTTTCAGGTGCACTTTCAAAGCCTTGGGGTTCCAGAAGATCGCGGGCAAAATCCTCTTCAACTTGGTCAGAGTTCCCTACATGTTTTTGTTCTACCTACAAGACATTTTTCCCCCTTTGGATTTGCAGTGGAAACTGTTATATTTTCTCCCAAGTATACACAAGCCAAACAGTAGAGCAAGCAAATGCTGCCACAGAAAATTTTCTAACGTCAAGTGTGGACCAATCAAGAAACACGGTTTAAAAATATGTGTCCAGTCCAGAAGTCTGTGACATCAGAGAAGTTTGTTTGCGTCGGTAGTTAAAGGGAATGTTTAATCCAGAGTATTGAAATATATCAGGCCAATTTGTTATGCTTTCTATAAAAAAGGTGGGTTTAGTTCTACTACTACTAAATCTCAAATTTGCAGTGAAAAAATATAAAGAGCACTTTTAATGTGTCATTTGAAAAAAATGTAGCTAACATAAAATAAACCTCAAAGTTCTCAAGTACTTCCTCTTACTGTTTTTGGCACTTGTAAATGTATAAATTCCACACACACAAAAGTGTAAATGGCATTTCCGCCATCCCAGAGTTCCTTTCAGGAATGGTTTTCTTATTCTTTCAACAAGAAGTGGTGAGTAGATTGTTCTGTTCCTGCTGTGGTGATATGGGAAAAGTATGGCTCTTAAAATTTCTACTTTGTACCGTAATCTTGGTGAGTTACCTTTTTATAGACAAATCTCTGTTTTCATTTGCAGAATCTAAAGCTTTCACCTGTTGTCATAGCAGTTGTTTTGTATTATGGCACTGTGCTATATATAAACTGCTGTGACTACACTTAGTGCTTTTGAATGAAATGCCTAAAATAATACCAGATTTGGCAAATGAATATTTATCTGCACATCTGTCCACTCAGTTTCTTAATGGAAATTTCTTCCTAGTCATTGAATGAACACCTGGTAATGAAACCCTAGTGCTCTAAGGTTGTTACTATTGGATACTTGTTTGGTGCCAGATCTTATCATCATATCTTTCTTTAAAGTGAATATATCATTCTTTGCATTTGGGCTAAGCTAACACAGAGGGAAGGTAAGTTTAAGTGCTTGTCCTACCCTCATATTAGTAGCATTCTACTGTGTTTGGAAACTGGGTTATCCATCCTGCTATACTGCCTGTGTGTCTACTCCGCGTGTGCCTACATTTCCTAACCAACCTGGGATCCTCTGCCTACATCATTTCTAGTTTGACTTTTTAAAGTTTTTTTCGCCAAGGTGTAGATTGGGTTTTCAATTTTGAAAATGTAGGCGATTTATTAAACTATTTTTATTTAATTGTGTTATGACTTAGCTTTTCTTGGGAAATAGCATCAGAGTAAACTGTTTGCACCTTCATGCCTGTAGTTTCACTCCTATTTCATGTTTTGATTTTCCCTACACTTGGCAAACTGCACGGTATAAAATGTATAGGTACTAAGTAGCTGATATTTGTGCTTTGTGGCCTTGAACTTAATTTTATATTGTCAAGTCTGTTGACTCAGGTTTCTTGTTCCACCATTACTTTTGTTGTCATTTCTAGCAGCCTTATTTATGTCAAATTGAAAACCTTTCAATTATCTGTGATAATTTGCCATAAACTACAAATTTTCTTAACCAAAAACTTAAATTTTCTGAATTAGTAACATATCAGAAAAATTAAAATCTGGATTATCTAAAGTTTCTAATCATCAAATTTCTCTTGTTTTTTTTTTTTCGGTCACTCATTGATTTACTCAAAATATTTGTAAGTTATATGTCAAGTAATATGCTCGGCACTGGAAGTTAACATGCAGTTGTTAACTCTATGCTCATTCTATGGATTCAAAATATATAATCAACAAATATTTATTGATTGCTCATTGTATATTAGCAATAAATACGACTCATTTGCTACTTACTAAACTTGGCTAAATCACTTGAGTATGTGTACACTGAAAAAATAGATTACTTTTAGATTCTAAATGTCAGTTTAAAACTCTGATTTTACTTTACTCACTTTCTTATTCAATAAATTAAATTTTGAAAGCAAATGGAGAGAATTAGGAAAGTTTTGGTTCCCCTTGAAGCCACCTTATGAATTAACAAAGAAGTGAAAAAGGATGGGTGTCCTTATTTAATCACTAGTTTGGGAAGTTGAAGTAGATTTTTGTTTTCTTTAAAGCCCTCATGATTTTGCTTTCAACAAGTTGCCTGGGGAAAGAGTTTCTTAAGAATTCCTGTGATGAAAAAATAGCAGCAGCCAGCAGCACCTCCTATTAAGTCCAAGTCACTGGAGCTGGGAAATGAGTTTTTCTGTTTGCTGGAAACCTCATAGCCATTTGCTGACAAAGATGGTTTCCTTTAACCTCTTTATTTCTCATTATGTGTAAACTATTAAAGCTGGAATAAAGGAGATATTTAGAATTTTTTTTTCAACTCAGACTTTTTTCTTAGCTTCATAGTGACTTTGAGGAGGCGTCCATGGAACTTCCTGAAATTGTGTGTAACAGTCTGCTTTCGTCAACAGAATGCTGTGTCACCTAGGGGAGATGGAACACCTCTCTTTTTACTATGAAATCCTCAGGATTCCCAGTGTGATTTTCTTTTTCTTAAAAAGCAGAAATATAGTTGAGTGTAGGAAGAGTAAATAAAATAATTTGTAAGAAACATTATGTACCCAAATCTCAGCATCGGAAAATTGCTTCAAGGTGGAAGACATAACCCTTCTCTGTGAAAACAGGAACAACTGTAGCAGAAAAGATAAATTACTTGTGCAACAGAGAGAGTGTGGCCTCCAGATTTATCCCACTGATTGCAAAGCTTAGCTTCTCTGCAGTTTTCTTCATGTTTTTTTTTTCTTTAGAGAATTTTTCTTTCTTTTTTTTAATTTTAACATTTATTTATTTTTATTGGAAAGACAGATTTATAGAGAGGAGAGAAAGATCTCTGTCCTATGTTTCACTCCCCAAGTGGCAGCAATGGCCTACGTCGAGCCAATTCAAAGCTAGGAGCCTGGAGCTTCTTCCGGGTCTCCCATGTGGGTGCAGGGTCTCAAGGCTTTGGGCCTGCTTTCCCAGGCCATAAGCAGAGAGCTGTATGGGAAGTGGGGCAGCCAGGATACAAACTGGTGTCCATATGGGTTCCTGGTGCATGCAAGGGGAGGATTTAGCCCCTGTGCCATCACACCACGCCCTCTTTAGAGAATTCTGTATTGCCTGGTGTTAATGTAAAGTTAATAATTATTTACATATTTCAGAAAAAAAAGACAGTTTACTCCCCACTCTATTCCATATTAGCTCCTTCAAAACAAGAGAGAGGAATTACTTCCAATAAATGATTTAAATGGAATAGGTCAATACTTTGTCTAAATGCCTCTGACATTGGAGTTGTGCTTCCTTTCCTCAAATGACACTTTCCTCTTCCCCAGAGAAATGAAAGGAAAAAAAATAATATAGACCCTTTATGGATTGCTCGGATTCCCATGAATATTTATTTTGACAAACATTATTAAACATGAAATTTCTGAATTCCTTGAATGGCAGGAAGCTTAAATTGTTTCCTTGGGTCACATCATGTTCAATTACTCATAAAAATCAGTCTCTTGTAATGGCATCATTTTAAGGGTCACCATTTTTACGTATGGCAACCCACTGTTGTAGTTGACACTATTATGCCTTCATTGAATTTATTTGTAGTGTATGGTTGTTTGCTATATAAACTTAGACCAACCAACTTTTGCTGTGTTAAATAAGAATGACTATGCTATGATATGTATAGCAGTTCCTTCATTTACTCGATAGCCAGTACTACCACAAGAAAAACAGACAAACTTGCCTTTTTGGCCAGCAATTCTTAAAAGTAAAACTGACATCAAATTTTTGATCATACATTTAATATTGCTAGCATGATCTAATGCTGTCATTATTATTATTATTTTCCATAATGCGGGTTTGTAGGTATAGGGATTCCCCCGTCACTTCCTGATCTAATAGTAACTTAAGAAACTTAAGCACTAATCTGCTTAAGTTACTTTTAAATATCAGATTTTAAATAGAACGTAGGATTTTGTTTTGTTATTCACTTGCTCTACATTAAGAACAGTTATAATGAATTATGATGTTAGATGTTATACTAAACTGTTCTCAAGATGTTTCATCTCTTGGTGCATTCAAAATTAAGAGAAGTTATTTATACAAGTATCAATTCTGAAAAATTTCAAATTCGTTCTTCTGTATATTCACTGAATTAATTATAATTGAAACTTTAAGCAAGAATATTTAATAAGGAGAGATTTGCACCTAAAAAAAAATCTGTGTTTCTAAGTTTTACATCCAACAGGAGAGTTCATAGGAAAATGTGTTAAAGTGTTTGAATCTGATGAACTCCTTTTGATGTTTCATTATAATTGCTGAAACAAATGAACAGCTGATGCAGAGGTGCCGCTGTGTTTCAGTTTTCTCTTAGATGCTAGTGAAGCAACCTGACATTAACTGTCCACAGTGCTAACAGAGATTTTAGTTTCAATTGACTTTCAGAAGAATCTGATTATTTGAACCTGAAGGGAAAAAAAGTGATGTGAACTTTGAAAATCACATGTATGAAACAGATTTGTTTGTTTTCTTTAGTATTTTGAATAAAACTTTGAAAGATCATCATTAAATGACTTCTGTTTGAATGACATAGAACAAATTGAATTCTTATAGTTAAAATACATTAAAAAATACATGTTTCTAGAGAAAAGCAATAAATGAGGCAGAAACCTTTCTAGTTAAATTTTACATGAATTCTTATTTCATTTTTGGTCGTATTATTATTGGTTTAGACTATTGGTCATAGCAATATTGAGCAGAAATTATGGGATATCAGCTTGCAACTGATTAAATCAGATGTTTTCTCTGATGCTGAGATGATAAGATTTTTATCTTTTAAAATAAAAAACTGAATTGTGACTTCCAAAATAAACTATAGTTTTGTTTGGAAACTATGTTCACATTGGTTTAATGTTAGGTTTTCGTACTTCAAGTTAGTAATTTAGCCATTAATATAGAGACTTCAACTTCCATCAGATGATATCATCTAGAATCAAATGATATAATCGCCATTTCAAGAAAAGACTGTTACTAAGTTGCAGCCTCTTATACCTGGGTTCAAATGAGTTATTTTCATATTTTATTGAGAGATAATATTTCTTTCAGATTACATTTTCCCCAGAAAGGTGATTATTAACATAAACTTAGTGTATAAAACAATTTTATTGGCATAGCAGTGTAGTCAAATTTCAGCCTATCTTTGATTCAGTGCCTAGTTCTGTAACTAGTTATAAATACAACTTTATAATGGGCATAAGAACTCTGCCTTTCCAGAGATTATTATATATATATGTACGTATATATATAATATTCAAATAAATATTCTGAATGAGAAAAATAGATCAAGAAAATACAAAATGACATTAACTGAAAGGCAATGCCATATTACTTAACATTTTTTCTAATGACTACTAGTTTGGTTCTTAGAGCTCAGTTCAGCTTGATGGGTTATATCACTGTTCCTTTTGTTGATTCAGATCTCTGACCTCATTTAGATCTCTGACCTCTATTTAAAACAATACATAATTATGAGTAAGTTTTTAAACTTTATCTCAATTTTTAAAGTAGTACCATATGTTAAATGGGACATAAGTGTAAATACAGATCGATTCCCAGAATTGTATTGCTGTTCTTGGTTGTAGCTGGGTAAGTAGTGGGGCTCTGGAACCATTTTGCCATTGAATCCTTTCACCACTTAGATGTGTTGCTGTGATTCACGTGACTATAGATTTCCTCTCTGCATTTCATATCTTAGGTTGCATGAGAATGCAGTGAATTAACATATAAAACATTTAGAAGAGGGCCTAGACAATATGAAATGATTAAGTATTAGAAATTGCATACGTGCATCATAGGTGGTACACCCGATTGAATTACATTATGTCTTTTTGGACTTATTATAATGAAGAGAGAAAAATGAAAGTTATTATAATGAACTTGCAAAAGTTTGGAATTCAACACTGGACACACTGTGTAATTAGAGAGCTTAAGTGGATCAAGCATTGGCAAACAATGGCTAGCAGACTGATTAATGGATCGTTTTTGTGTGTGTGCTGATTTTTTCATTCTTTTTACCTTTACTTTTTAATCTTTTAAATGTATGTATGTATTTATAATGTAGTTTTACTTACTTGAGAGACAGACGATTTCCATCTGGACTCTTTCCTAAATGTTGGTCATTTCCCAGATGCTCGTAACAGCCCTGGGCCAAGGAACTGAAGGCTCAATCTTAGTTTGCCATAAAGGTGGTAGAAACCCTGTCATCTGAGCCATCTCTCCCAGGGCCCACATGGACAGGGAGCTGGAATCAGGAGGTAGAGCCAGAGATAGAAACCACGGAGCTGGATTGAGGCTATAAGGTGTCATCACTGGCTTTTCTGTCACTTAAGTTAATCACCTGATAATATATTTTAAAAGCTTTATTAGAATATTGACTTGTTCTTTCATTCATGGCTTGCTGGTGGTTCTGTTAAGCATTACAATATGTTGGGTAGTTGTGAGAGACCTAATGGTCTCAAAGGCTAAAACAATTTTTCATTGGTCCTCTGGAAAGTAGATCTGTTTTTGCTATAGACTCTAGAAATTAAAATGTGGCTCTAAAGAATTGTTGGAAATGTGTTGATCCCTAGGTTGCTCTTGGGTTCAAATTAAGCAATGATTACTTCTGGTCTTCATAAGGAAAGCACATATGTAAATTACCTATAATATTTAAAAAAATATGTTACACCTGGACTGTATATCACATCAACTAGTTTTAGGTTTGAAAATATTTATGTATTAACACATATATAGATATATACGTAAAAATCAAAATATAAAAGTTCCCAGAGAATTCCAATGCTTATCCCTGCTGACCACTGATAATTTTATCACGACAGTGTACTTTGTAGCCCTCAGAAAAAATAAAAGAACTAAGACCATTTCAGAATGGATTAATGATGAGCCCATTTAGATTAAATGAGATCAAAGAGGCCCCGGTTCAAATGTAAAAAGTTTGTTTCACTGGGTTGTGAGAATAATGTGGCTGAAATATATGCCTAGTGTTTGGTTTAACTTGCTATTCACTTACATGATGAATCTTGAAAAGTACCTTTGTCCGTCTTCCCTGGCGGTGACGGGGAGAAGATATGGTGAACAGAGCATTTCATGCTGCATTTTTCACCTACAGATTAATGTGAGGCATGAGATTGAGAAAGTTCCTTGTTTGCTCTAGGAAAATTGGCTGTAGAGAAGGGGGAGAAGGGGGGAGGTTGGCAGCGTTTCAAGCAGAAAAACTGTTATGTAATTATAGAGTAGAAGTATAAAAAATGCCAGGATCCTCCATTGTTGTTAATTCTAAAGTAATTCCTAGTCTAAATCAAGAACTTTAACAAGAAGCTTAAAAATCAGTGCAACTATCTGAAATCATACCAGATTAGATAGGAGAATTAGGAAGCTTCTAAACATTTTATAGTGACTTAGCTTTAATGAAATGTAGGCAGAGTTGTCTGCCATGAAGAACTAAGTCAGTGTGGCTCAGTGACTTTTTTTTTTTTCTTCCTGAAAAATGTAGGCATTTCAGCAGAACCATGGAAGAACTGGTTCATGATCTTGTCTCAGCATTGGAGGAGAGCTCAGAGCAAGCACGAGGTGGATTTGCTGAAACGGGAGATCATTCTCGAAGTATATCCTGCCCTCTGAAACGCCAGGCAAGGAAAAGGAGAGGAAGAAAGCGGAGATCTTACAATGTTCATCACTCATGGGAGACCGGTCACTGTTTAAGCGAGGGCTCTGACTCTAGTTTGGAAGAACCAAGCAAGGACTATAGAGAGACTCACAATAATAATAAAAAGGATCATAGTGACTCCGATGACCAAATGTTAGTGGCAAAGCGCAGGCCATCATCAAATCTAAATAATAACGTTCGGGGCAAAAGACCTCTATGGCATGAGTCTGATTTTGCTGTGGACAACCTGGGGAACAGAAGCCTGCGCAGGAGGAGAAAGGTGAAACGCATGGCGGTAGATCTCCCGCAGGACGTCTCCAACAAGCGGACAATGACCCAGCCCCCCGAAGGTTGCCGGGATCAGGACATGGACAACGACAGAGCTTACCAGTACCAAGAATTCACCAAGAGCAAAGTCAAGAAAAGGAAGTTGAAAATTATTAGACAAGGACCAAAAATCCAAGACGAAGGAGTGGTTTTAGAGAGTGAGGAAAGCAGCCAGACCAATAAGGACAAAATGGAGTATGAAGAGCAAAAAGTCTCAGATGAGCTCATGAGTGAAAGGTGACTTTCATACTCTCTAAATATAAAGATGCTTGCTTCTGGTGTTTGTGGTTGAATGTATTTTATATTTTAATTAAATCTATTTTGAAATAATTATAACTTGAAATAATGGTAGCAATATTACTGCATAGTAGCTATACTTACAATTTATGATGCTGAGCACAAAACAAAATTGCTTATTTGATTTACAGAGTATTTTGATTGTGTTATAATGACTTAATTTTCAGCCACGAAGAAAAAAGGAAATGGATTTTCAGTAGCAACATTTGTAGCTCTTAGAAATAAAAGCGTAACTATTTATTTGTGTAATTATAAAGCCTAGTTTTTTGGTACGTTTTAGAGTGCCTCAATTGATAAATACTCTGGTGCCTGAGAGTCAAAAGCTTCTATCAAGTCAATATAAGTGGATTGATGTTTATAAAAATCTTGAACTTGCTAGGAATTCTGATTAGTTATGAACTGAATGGACAAGTTTATGGTCCAGAAACACCTGATTTTGTCATTAGTGAAATGGAATAGACAGCAATCTATTATCAGTCTAACCTATTCTAGGAGGCAGGTATAAAGACAAAGGTGATTTGAAGAACTCTTGATTGCATCAAAGGTAAGTGTTCATTCTTTTACTTAGAACTGGTGCTTACTTGTGCAAAGTGAGTTGTTACAATTGGTGTGTGTGTGTGTGTTTTGTGTCTGTGTGTGTGTAAATACCAAGCTATGAGCCAAAAAAAAAATACTTAAATATGATCTGAGAAACTTTATTTAAATTTTTGTTTTGTAGAGTTAACATTCATTTCAATCATGCAGATTTGGGTTTTGGATTTTTGTTGTTGCAACTTACTGTAACGTGATTAGAGCCTGGTAAAAGACTATATTGGATAATCCTTTAAATACCCATGGTTTTCTGTCTGTAATTTTCCTGAAGTGAAGTTCATCTTAAATAAAAATAAGTTTCAAGAAGGCTCTGAAAAGTTTATGCTTTTCTGCTTTTTTCCCCTGCAGGTTCTCATTTTTACATGTGCTAAGAATTGTATGTTAGAGTCAGAGCATCTTGACTAACAACCATATAAACAGACATAAAAATAATTACCTTGTTCAGTTTTGGGAGGGAGAGTATGTGACTGTGCAGATATTCAGTTAGATTTCCTTCTTGCTGGATTGATTATGCAATCCCTGTTTTTTGTTTTCTTTTTTTAAAAAATATAATCATTAATCTGCTTCTGAGGATATCTAGTTTTGAAGAGAACTGAGATGAAACTCCCATGATTCATTTCTTTTCATTGTAAAAAATATTTTAGTATCTACAATGATGATCGGTTACCTAGCAGTTTACAGCTCAGGTGTAGATTTTCAAAGAGGATGTTTTCAATGTTAAATAAATTCTAAAAATATTTTTCTCTGGTTTTTAAATGCATCTAAATAAATATTCTGTTGTCACTAAAGGAGTAGGTGTAAATTTCTTGTGTGGGAAGAATGGTAAATATTTAAGGTTTTTCCTTAACAGTTTTTTTTCCAAATGCTTCCAAAGTCTTTATATGTTAAAAATGTGTTCTTCATTTCATTGAAATAGATTTGTAAATAAGAACAACTTCACAACTCTGTGTGTGTGTGTGTGTGTGTGTGTGTGTGTGTTTGAGAGAGAGAGAAAGAGACTTAAAGAGAGATTAAGATTGTGTGGTTCACTGGTAGTTCCTGGACTAAGTCTGTACTTACCAACCTTGTAGTCTAGAATAGTCAGATAAGCAGATGATGAAAATAAAGTCTGAGGAGTGCAAGGTGTTTTTGAAGACTTTCTAAAGCAGTTGTGATTTAAAGCAAGAACTAAGACCTAGAGATTGATGAGTGAATAGGAGGGAGAGAAATGATATTTCTAGATATAGGAAACAGCCCGTGTAAGTACATGGGTTATGAAACAAATGTGTTTTGTGGCTGTATTTGATTATCATTTGAATACATGAGTGTTAAGACTAGAGCAGTAACCATTTCTTGGAGGCTTATAGATACTTGTGTTCAGTAATTTGGATTTCATCACATAAGCGGATTGAAATCCCTTGAGTTCTAGCAGTGAAACAAACTATGTAGACTTGCATTTTATCAAGAGAACATGATGTTGACAGCAATATTTTGTTTATCTTTCATTGATCTCCAGTCCATATTAAGTGGAATGGAAATTATGGCTGTGTCAGTAAAGTGACATATCGGGGTATGTTTAGAATGTGGAATTGATGGGAGATTACCTGATTTTATTTTGGGGGGGATGCATGAGACTGAGGATCCCCAAATGATACCCAAGTTTTAATCAAAATATATAGGACATGAACAAATTGAGGCAAGGTTTTGATATTAGTGTACGAACATTAATACAGCAGGCATTAGTGGAACATATTCTCATCTGAAAACTGCTATGCAAGTGTGGCTGGAAAAGGTGAAAAGCGTTTATCCATGGAGGTAAGCCCTAGTGACCATCAGCTGCTGAGTGAGAAGCTTTGCTTCTGAAGTTCTTACTCTGATTTAAGTAAACATGTTAACAGGAAGATGATGAACACAAAACAACTGGCTAAATATCAGCGAGGTCAAATGCAAATAGGAAATATGTGTGGGTATACATACAAGTCAGTAAAAAAATGCCTGAAAGAAGGACAAGGACCAGGGTGAATTCTGATATCCTTATACAAGGGTATTTCAGAAAGTTTGTGGAAATGAATTTAAAAGAAGTTTATTTTGGTGAATAAAAAGTTTTGAAATCCACATGTAGTCTTTTTCATAATTATATCTTTCATGACCTTTTGGCAAACTCCTCATATCTAAGATTGGACAGGTGATAAGGAGAGAGAGAGGATAGGTATGGCTGTTGGAGAAAGCATAGCCACATGCCAGAGATGGGAAGAAGTTAAATGGAAACCTTTATGTAGAAGGTTTTGGACTCGATTAAATAAGGAAAAAATTTTAAGCATTTAAATAGAACATTGCACATTTCTTATAGTGTGTGTGTGTGTCATCAAGAGTCTTCTTTTGACTAGTTTTCATTTGTAGAAAAGTTGCATAGTTTACAAAGCATGCTTATTATGTTTATATATCCTAAACTCAGCTTCCCTGTGACAAAAAGCTTTATGCATTTCTATGGTACATCACAAGTACTGAACCAAGAGGGAAACATTTTTCTTAAGTGAGGTCTATAGCTTATTAGAATTTCCTTTCTTTAAATTTCGTGCCATTTCTGCATTCCAGGATATTACATGACTGTTAGCTTACCAATTATATTTTGAAGAAATATATCTGCCTTTATGTAAAGGTATAGACAGGGATAAATCCGAATTCAGTTTAGAAGATGGTGGTACAGAAAAAAATAGTGTTTTCAGATCTACCGCAGAGAAGTGAGGACTCGAATGGGGCCCTGGCACGTTATACAGGATGCGTGATTCCCAACTGCTGCAACAAATGTCCTCCCTTTGTATCTCTTTAAAAAACCCAAAGACTAAAATACTTTATACTCATACAATATATGTGGAGCTAGGTCTAACCTATAATTTCACATCTAAATTTATATATTTCAATACGTTTTTTATGTAAGTATGTTAATGACAAACATTTTAATCTGAAATAAACCACTTGGGGATATTTCCTAATTGGTTAAAATTGAGAATTGCATTAACTTTGTGCATAAGGATTTTAAAGAACATCACTTAATTTTGTTTAGAGGCCAAACCATTTTATATAACTGTATTCTTGGTATGTTAACTGAAGTATCCCATCATGTAAATATAACTTAGGTTAGGACTAATGGTGTCAGGTTGTTTGTGTTAGCCTGATATCTGTATTTGCTTTTCAGTTTTGTGTTAAATTTAATCCTATTGTTCTCAATAAAAGTGATGAGAAGGTGTGTTGCTTTGCACATACCTTCCTTAATATTTAACATTTTATTCAGCTGCCCTCAAGTTTGAATTAATGAATTTTCCTGTCTGTAAAGTTTTTTCTTCCTTTTGAAATAAAAGAGTTGTGAATTCTTAAGTAATGTCGTTTCCAGAATATTTGCAAATGTGATTATGAAAAGTAATTTCACCCCAGGCCCTTGTATTTCATGTGCTGAAGCAAGGACTAGCTTGCTTTTGATTGAGACTTTTCCCATTTTATTGAGCAGTGGTGTTTCAGGCCCAAGCCGTATTGCGTGGTGTAAGAAAGGAGCAGTGAGCATTTGATGAAAGCAGATAATAAAATGCATCAATTGTGTCAGCACCTCGTCGCAGTCACATCTGGCTTACTGTCAGGGTCCCATTAGATTCCTGTGGTTTTATGTGCCAAAAAATAATACGTTCTGTAGTTAATGGAACCAGGGTATTTGCAATTTGAATAAAAAAAATCATCTTATTTTCTTTAAGATCTTTGTCAGGCTTAAGTTCCATCCCTGCACTGCCATGTCTCTTTAAAATTTTACGATTGAGAGATCAATTGTTCTTTTGATCTGTTTCTTTTCCTTCTTCCAGTGACTCCAGCAGTCTCAGCAGCACTGATGCTGGTTTATTTACCAACGATGAGGGAAGACAAGGTACTGAAATGCTGTTTTTCTCTCTATGGAAAATAATCCTCACTTCTAAGTTGTGCTTAAAATTGGTTGTCTTATGAATTAATGACGCTAATCTGGTGGTCTCTTTTGCTTATGCACACTGTTTGCTAGAGTGAAGTTCAGTATTACCCTTAATTTTTGTACCTGCTGTTTAAGATGCCCTATCTTCCATAACTAAAGCAATTGATTATTTCCAAAACTAGTATATGGATTATCTTCCTTAAGAAAGCTTTATATAGCTGTACATATCTTAGTCCTTTGAATTTTCTCTCCAATGCAAGACCCAAGATACAAGTTCTCATTCTGCACCTGATTCCAAATGCATTTCAAACTTTTCATAAAGATGGAATTACAAGTCATTTATCATTTTTATTTTTGCTGTGACATTTCTTCATCGTATTCAGTTTTTAATTAGATGATTTTCGTAAATTCCATATTGTGTACTGTTAAATAGCAATGTCTTATATCTTAGATGTTTTCTTTTTTTGAAGTTTCCTGAAACTTTCCTTACTTAAATTGGAAATGCATAGGTTTGGAAAATATAAAAACTTTAACAAAGAGACAGGATTCGTTCTTAATTGGATTACTGTCATTTAAATATGTATGCTTATGCTTATTTTACTTTCATTCTCTATATAGGTCATGTAATTAAGCTAATACATAGAAATACTTATTTAAAATGTTACCTTCCTTTCTTAAGAATTTCTTACAGGAAGAGAATAAGTCCCAAGAGAGTATACTATACGTGTATTTTACATATATATATAGGAGTGTATAGTTTTAAATTATTAATTACTTAATGATGCTATAAAGAAGAACACAGCAGCTTCCTATACTTCTTCTTGAGACTTTTCCCTCTTGTGAACAGCTGTTTGATTTCCTTGTAAGAGTATTATGGGGCCTGTGCTTCAGTGCCGTGGGGAAAACTGTGATGCAAACAAGTCATGTGGCTGCTCGGTCAAGTCTTGGCTGCTCCACTTCTGCTCCAGCTCCCTGTTAGTGTACCTAGGAAACCAATGGATTATGGCCTGGGTCATCGTCCTTGCCACCCATCTGAGTGACCCCTTTGGAGTTCCAAAATCTTGGCTTTGGCCTAGTTCAACCCTGACCATTGCAGTCTTTGGGAGAGTAAACCAGCAGAAGGAAGATCTATCATCCCCCCCTCTCTCTGAAACTTTTCCCTTCAAATGAATATATATCTTAAAAAAAAAAAGAAGGAAGTCATTTATCACATCAGTAGTAGTTCCTTTTTCTGTATCTCTAGGAATTGAGATCTAAGATATTCAGTCTCAATTCATTTTTTGTATTTTCTTGTGTTCACACCTGACTTGAGATATTTTAAATTTAGCTGTGTAAGTACTGACATTAACTACTGTGAATTCTACTTTTTTTAAAAAAATAAGATTTTATTGATTCCTCTGTTGAAATACTACTGATTCTGGTTTTCCAAATGCTTTTTTTTATTTCCTTTTCTTTTAAAATATAGCTGATTCTCATAAAACCATTTTCAATGGAATCTCTACGTTGTTTTGGCTTTGCCCTTCAGTGTGTAACTGTGGTGACTCTGTTAGAGCCCAGATTCTTGTAGTGGCTTCTAGTGATTAGTTCAATTCCTGGCTGCTCACTTCTCCTCTGGCTCCTTGCTCCTTCCTGGGGACGCAGAGAATGTTCCAAGTGCTTGGGCCGCCAGTTACCTACACTGGAGGCCTGGATGGAATAGCAGGCTCCAGGCTTTTGCCTGGCCTAGCCTTGGCTTTGAGGGCCATCTGTGAACCTTCAGTTGTAAGATCTAAGTTTTGTTTCTCCTCTTCTCTATAACTCTGCTGCTCAAATAAATAAAATCAGTTTGTTACAAAAAAAGCAGAGCAGGAAGATTTTAATGAATCTTAGACTGTATTCAAAATGCTACTTGTCTCTTATTTTGAAAAGCCATCTGCCTTATTTTACATTTTTTTAAGATTTGTTTCTCATGGCCTCTTCCAAACTGCATGTTACATTAATCATTCATTTTCTCATGATTACATTTGTGGATGTTTCAAAAAGTCAAAATTAGTAAGTAGTGCTGAGTTTTAAAAAGGCTGTCTTATACTAGTGTGTTTTATTTTCTTTATAAACTCTGTATTGTCATTTCTCATTTAAAAAAAATCAACATTTTCAAAGCTATTTCTTAATGAACTTAATTAGGTTATTTTCATTTAATCACATCTGTTCATGACTGTTTCCCCTTTTATATGCCATACAAATCATGAAATTAAGCTAATTATATACCATTATCAGCTGCAAAGAATGGGTTCTCTGGCTTTATATCTTTTAATTCCCAGTAGGAGATGAAGGCACATTTTCTTTAATGTGGTATGGGTTGTACCTTAAATGGTTTTTTTCTGTATTTTTTAAACAAAGTATTAACTTAGTTTTTAAAATTATTTTTCACATTTTAAAATGATTCTAAAATATGTTTTGTGTTTTTGTTAATGGCAGTGCTTGTAGTAGTAAAGAACATTTGATTATTGCACCAATGGTATTGAGTTAAAAGCTTTATAGGTTTTATAAATATATATGATATATGTGATATATATTGTATATATATACTTGTTTGACAGAATATAGAACCCCCAGTTAAATTAGCAATATAGAGAAATATTTTAGTATAAGTGTGTTCCATGAAGTATTGGACATATTTATGTTAAAAACATAGTGCAAGACAATATACTTACATTAGAAGTTAATCTTTGAAACCTAGGTTTCACTGCCATCTAATATTTTTATTTCTATGTTTTTTTAATTAAAATTCATTCATTTTTTATTTGAAAGGGAGATTTACAGAGAGGGGGGAAAGAGAAAGAGAGAGAGAGAGAGAGAGAGAGAGAGAAAGGTCTTTTATGTAATGATTCAATCTAGCTGCAGCAGCTAGAGCTGAGTCAATCTGAAGCTAGGAGCTTCTTCACAGCTTCCCACATGTGTACAAGGGCCCAAGGCTTTGGGCCATCCTGCACTGCTTTTCCAGGCCACAAGCAGGGAGCTGGATCAGAAGCAGAGCGGACGACATGAAGCAGTGCCCATATGGGATGCTGGCACTGCAGGCTTAGGATTAGCCTATTGATCCACCCTGCCAGCTCATCTGTTACATTTTGATTATCTTACAGCCCTAATTGCATCTTTAGGTGATAAGCCTGAGTCTTAACTCAGGGACTTCTTGTGTTTGTGCAGGTGATGATGAGCAGAGCGATTGGTTCTATGAGAAGGAATCCGGCGGAGCATGCGGCATCACTGGAGTTGTGCCCTGGTGGGAAAAGGAGGATCCTTCGGAACTAGACAAAAATTTACCAGATCCTGTCTTTGAAAGTATTTTAACTGGCTCATTCCCCCTTATGTCGCATTCAGGCAGAAGAGGTGAGTATTCCTGCCTAACAGATACAACAGGGTTAGGATCAACCTGGGAATGTGTATTCAGAGAGGCTAAAGGGCAAATTGAGCACAAGATGGATGTAAAACACAAAGAAAAGTATTGGTGCTAATTCAGCTATATTCATCATGCTTCTAAGTGACAAGGAAAGAAAAGTGGCTTCCTGATTTCCTTTTCTGCTAAGCCCATTTGTAGAAAGTTTCAAATGATAGGAAAGTTGAGTAGAAAGAAAAAGCTCCCTGAATGTGACTCAAGGGTTTAAATAGTAGATAAGTGCTGGCTGCATCAGAACCTTACCAAGCTTTGATTCATTTCTTTTATGTGTGGATTTTACATTTTCCTCATAATGTTCATGCTGCTTACACCTAGCTCCAACTTCTAATTTTCTATTGATAGAATGACATCTGTTTTCCAGTGAACTTAGAACCTTCTAAATTGAGTGCTTTTATTTCCTAGGTTTCCAGGCTAGACTCAGCCGCCTTCATGGAATGCCTTCAAAGAATGTTAAAAAACCTGGAGGAACTCCATCTTCAATGGTAGGCATGCTTTCTGTTGAATTCTCATGTTTTGAAATGTTTCCATTTCTATGGAATAAAAAGCCACATCCTCATCCTTTATTCGTTTTCTAATGTTATACTTAAAAATAATCCATTTTTTTGTAGGCTGCAAACTGGACCAGTGAGATTCCCCTATAAACCAAATCTTCTAATGCTATTAATTAGTTACATTTGAACACCTGGGGAGTGACACTCGAGGGAACCTGGCTCCTGTCCTCTTCCCTGGAGGAGTATCATTGAAGTGAGAGCCTCTTTGATGAAAAGATGGGGCTGTTTTTGCTGGAGGACTGGCATTCTTCCTGTTTAGTCAGACGTGAACCTGAGTTGGGAGGCTTCTAGGGATCTAGGTCGGCCCAGGGTGGATAGAAACTACTGTAAATTTGATCTATTTTTAACTTTTTATGGTTGAATCCATTTATGTATTACTTGCTTTGCCAAAATGCTAACAAAAGCTAGATAATTGAAAACTACCAAACCTAATTTACTTATTCTTTAATGTTTATTTTGTGACTGGTTAAGCATGACTTTTTGCGTACCTAAATGTTGTAAATTTCAAAGCAAAATAGTTGATGCATTTGCATTTATGGTTCATTTTCTAGAATATTCTTAAATAAGCAGCATTATTTAAAATATTTGCATTTTACTCAGGGTACAATAAGGGCTAAGTAAAGGATAAGGGCAAGAATCTTTGCTAGAGTTTGTATTTTGTTTGGTTTCCTTTCTATGTGGATAATCTGCTGTGTATTGCAAACCCATTGTACTTTGAAGTATAGTTTCAATTGTACTGCAGAAATCATTCTAGTTCTAAATTAGCTACAGTGATAACTAGTCTGCACTAATAGAATTGTTTACCTTTTAAGTTATCTACTTTGTCTGATACATAAGACATATCAAAATTATTTTACTGTAGAACTTCGTGAAATCATGTGAAAACTGGTATTATTGCAAATTCCTTGTGACTTTGAATTATATTCATGTTTAAAAATAGAGCTGCTTGTACAGCCGTCAAATGGCAGACCATATGTGTCACTGTGAGTGTCAGAAATACTTGCATGAGCTCATTTTCATCGGGTTGGGGGAAAATGTAACATTTCTGTTGATGGTCTAATTCAGTAACTATATTTAAAGTTCAGGCCACTTGAATTCTTAAAAATGATTATATTGAAATCACTAATATTTTTATTAAGTGCCAGTAATTGAGAACAATAATGTGATTTAATATGTGTATTTTTATATTGTATGGTTCAATCAATTGTCTTAGCATTTAATGGCTAAATTAAATGTGGTTGGAAAAGAAGTCTGAAAGTTGACATTACCTTTGCCTGAAGTTATAACAATCAGAAAGATTTTAACATATATATTAAGTGAAAATGTTTGACGTATCTAAAGATTGCTTTTCTGAACTGAAGAAATTAAAAATGATGAAATACAATGTTGAATCTCTTTACCTTCGCATATTTAAAGTGATATTAAAGGTATAATAATGTGATATTTCATAATTGTAAGTAAGTTTTTTTTGTTCTTCGTTTTGAGAGTGAAATTCATTGATTTTTTTTGGAATTACATAAATGCCTTTTATTCTATTTTGTATATTGGTTGTCTCTTAGATCTTAATAAGTCGTTTTAAAACCTTGGACTATGAACTTTGCCTTACCATTCATGAATCTTGATGAATGCTCTCAAGTTCTTGGTTTAGTTTTACCTATTTTTATTTTTGGTTCACTGCTTGCTTGAGCATAACTGGGATTTGTAGCCCATTTTCTAAGCTTATTGCAGTCTCACTGTGGTATTTTATAGAAGCTATTACAACTGATAGGCTAACTTCGTAGTATTGATGATACATGGCTTAACCATACTGGAAGCTGCCTCTCCTCTCTAAATTGTAAAAAGGTGATTAAGTTTCACTTGATGGAGATATACTATATATGTGTGTTTATCGTGAAACAAGTGCACCAGGCCGGAAACTGCTTTGCTGGTCTGCGTTTTTGTATTCAGCATTTTACTGAGGACAATAGACTCCTTCAGGTTTTCGTCCTCTCAACCCTGACTTGTCCTTGCTTGACTTTGTACATTTTTTTGTTTGTTTGTTTCTTTTTCCCAATAAAATCTCTGACTTGGGCAAGAAAGGTAAGAGTTTGAATTTGCGATGATACTGCTGTGCTGTTTCTGTTACTGTTGCTTATATGATTCAATTATGTATAGCTGCTAAGTATAAAAAAGTTTAATTTCACACAACAGTCATCTTTAAAGAATACCTATCTGACCTGTGCTGATGAATGGCATTTAATTACCTTCTATTTTCATATTAGAAAGCTGATTGCTTTTAACAACTGGTCAAATACATGTAGCTGCAACCCATTAAACAGAATGCAGTGAAGAGTTTCTGAAGCAGATGAATGTTGACAGCCAAGGTATAACACTGTGCTGTCTTTGAAAGAAATGACAGAAGAAAACATCTTTTACTAAATTATCCATGTAAACATTTTAAGAGAAGTTTCCAGTTGGATTACAGGAGATTTTAGCTCAGTATGGTTTTTTTTATGAAACCTCTGCAAATACCGAAATAAGTTTCCTTTGAGTCCCTGAGGACATTATTTTCTATCAACTAGTAAGTATAGAACCTTGTTCTGTGTATGTTTGTGTCTAAAGACATTTAGCATGTTTTTGATTCATTGACGTTGAACACTTGCCCAACAGTTCTCTAACTCAGGCCTAAACCAAGTTTGTCAAGCACGTTATTTCTCTCCCAGCTATATCCCCACCTTCTTGTTTCTTGGAAACACTAGACAGCATTTTGCTATGTAATATTTGAGGGACCCTTTAACAAAAAGTTAAAAAATGCAAAGAACTTTTCAGTAAAAAGACTGTAAAAGGAATATTGTTTATAATATGGTAGCTGAAACTAGAAAGCAAAACACTTTGTTGATCTCAGCTGGAAGTGCGTTTGTGCGTCAGGCCACCAACATTTTTTGGTGCTTTGCATGTATCTGTAAATTACATTTTTCAGTGCTTTGCATTCATTTGTCTATGAATGTTGATTTGGCGATTACACATAAATTTTAGCCAGTAGACCAATATGCTAATATGGTATCCACAAATAGGAATTAAGATCAATTGCATTTTTTTAATAGAAATAACAGTGATAATGTAGGAAATTTACAGATTTTGAAGTCAGACCTTTGTGAGTCCACAAAGGTTTTTCTTATTACTTGGAATTGCTTCTTGAACCTCACTTTCTCCTTTTGTTAAATATGGGCAGAGCTTTGTGTAAGTGTTGCCAGACCTAAACAAGACTGAATGTAGTGAAACTGTCTCTGGTGTACAGTATATATTATGCAAATGATAGTTATTAGGTATAAAGTCAGACAGCTGATTATGAAGAGAGCATTTTTATCATGGTCAAACCGCAGCATTTGATACTTTTAAACTTTTCTGTTCATATTTTATATATGATTTCTTCTGTATTTAATATTTAAAGTGTATTGCAGGCTTTTATGTTTCTTTTATATCTCATTTATATTCAAGCTGGCTCTTATCCCTCACTCTGTGAACAATAGTTGGGAATGAATTTTACTTTGACAACCACTGCACTAAATCTCAGAACTTAATTTTACTCTGTAAAATTGCTCTAAACTAAACTCATCAGGTAACCTCTCCCTCGATTTCCCAATCATCAAGCTACTCATTTATGGCAAGACCTAGAATCTTTTTAAGACATTGGGGTTTATATTGCTCTGATATTTAGAAGTAGTTGTGTTCATTTATGTGTGGGTGAATATGGAGACCTGAGTAGCTAATGGAGATAGGAATCATTGCTGCCATCTTTATTGGAGTCCATCCAGCCACCTTGTCCTGTTCCTCTCTTACAAGAATGAAGCAGATGATAATTACAACCAGGGCCATTTTCCAGAAGATTTAACTTAAATCCCTTACCGTTCCAGGGTTTCTGTATTCTGTACAACGCAGAATAATTGTCATTACAATAAAAATGGCAGAATCGGCTTTGAGATCTGGTACTTAACAAATGACTGCAAGTAATTTTACTCTAGCAAAGCATTGCAGGTTAGCTAGCATTCCCTCTTCCTAAGCATTTCTAATTAATCAATATTTTCTGTAGGTAAGACTTCCTTTTTCTTTTTTTTTTTTAACTCATGATCTTTCAGCAGGAGCTACATTTATCCACTGAGTTAGCATTCAGATTATGAATTCTATTGAAAAGCAACAGCAGTAAATGAATTGGCTTGGAATTCAGTATTTGAAAGTCAGCTTAAGTATTATATAAGGAACTGCGTGTTAAAACTTCAGTCTTTTCTTTAAATGTTTATAATTACACAGTTTATTATTTTTATATGTTTGAAATGAAAATGGTTAGTGTGATAGTGGTATTTGTGGTTCTTTTGCCTAAGAAAATGCATCTGTTAAATTCTTAATACATTGGGTTTGTCACATTCAGATATCTGAAAACAATTATATTCACTATTGATTTTTATTAGCATGCCATGTAAATAAACTTAACTTTCAGATTCACAGAATAATACCCTGAACAGAGAAATTTAGCTGTTCAGAATATTGAGTTAGGAGAAGAGGAATATGATGGATTTTATTTTGCTTATACAGTCATAGAAAACAAGACCTTTAGAAGCGGCATTTTGATCATTATAATCAAATTCTAAGATTTACACTATTAAGTTTTATTTTGGTTTTTCTTAGGGTACCCAGTTAGGGGTGTTCTGTTTTATAGCCTGTTGCTACAAAAGAACCACTTAAAATGGAGTTACTTTAAATAACTACAGAAAGTATTCTGATAAACATTTTAAGAAAAATCTAAAATGATTTTTGATAAATCTTAACAGCCCATAATTTGATCATATGCTGAATAGTTATCTAAAATTCTTAAGTGAACCTCTGTAACTGAAGTGTTTCATAAGCCGATGCTTGTTTTGTTTCCTACAAGACTTTTAAATACCTTGGAAAACAAAGATCTCATACTTAGGATGTTATTATATTATAAATGGCATATATAAATTCTAGTTACCACATGTGTTACTTTAGCATCTAGTTTCTGTAAACTCTGCTTTTCTGCTTTCACCTTAGAACTAGTACATTTTTCTAAAAGCTTCTTTTGAGATGAAGTAGATTTTGTACCAGAGAAAAGTACAGTTTAATAGATCAGAATAATATTTTTATTACAAAAAAATTATAATACTATCTCTTGCTTGATTTACGATTCTGAGCTTTGATATTCACACATTGCCTATAACTTTCATATCCATAATTAATAATAGTTTCATATCCATAATTGATATTCGAAACTATCAACCCTACCATTTGTCCTTCAGTTTCATTAAGCAGTATTAACATTGATAGTCTGGACTTACATGTTATTAAAAGTGGAATGGATATGCACATTCAAATTTTAGAAATATAATGAATATTTTCATTTATTCAATTGTTGTGGACTGCTTATTATGTGTTCGATAGTTAATCATCCAAACCTAGTAGGAGACACATGCATTTTACACAGTGGTTGAGGTGTTGATTGGCATGCCCGCATTCCATGTCAGAGTGCCTAGATTTGAGTTCTGCTGTACTTTCTGTTCCCACTCCCCATTAATATGTATTCTGGGAGGCAGTTGGTCAAGGCTGAAGTACTTAGCCCTGCAACCCGCATAGGAAATAGAGATGGAGTGTCCTAGTTTAACCTGGCCCAGACTAAGCAGCTGCGGCCATGTTGGAAGTAAGACAGCAGATGGTAGATCAAATTTAAAGAAATAAAACTTTGTAAAAATTGTTCAAGTGTGTACTCAATCTTGGTATTTTAATGTTACTAAAATATTCTGACTTTTTCTCTTACATAATTAAAATTATGTTCTTCTTGGATTACTTAGTATTGACTAGACTTATGTTATCATTTAGGTTTGTTATGCTTTAGAAACCTGAGCATTTCCAAAGATAGCAAACACTTTTATTGAGGTTTTTGTGCCAGACCGTTTTTTGGTGCTATTTATATATTTTTATTAGTTTAATCCTATTACCATGTCCATAAAGCAGATAATATGTAATACTTCTTTCTTTTTCCCATCAATTAGCTAAAATTAATGTATTTGAAACTGTCCTCTTGTTGTTGCCATGTTGCTAAAAAAAAGTGTCCTTCATAAAAGTCTTGTTGATTACAAAATTTCAAGTCTATGTTGTTTTGACATACGCATAAATCATTCTTTTCTAACTTGAATGATAAGCACAATCAAGATGTACTGTACTGCTTCAATAAAAATATTCTCTGGAACCTACTCCTCAGTTTTGATAATCCCCTTTTTATAAGTGTGGGTATCTTAGTACCTTCCTGTTCTTTAGTATTGTCTTGATGTACCACTCTTAGTCTGCTGTTTGCTCTGCCTCAGCTTGTTCTTCATTCCTGGTGCCATGGCCACCATTGTCCTTTCAGCCTGTTTTATAATGTCCCTCATCCTTATCGTATTGCCACTTTTGTCTGACTGTGATGGTGTTCTCTTTTGTCTATGTTCCTTTCCTGCTTTTCTCAAGTAAACTGGGACAATACTGAAAAGACCTCTTACAAGGTGATGATGCCTTAGCTGGGTAATTAAGAATGAATTGAAGCTCACTAATTTATTGGATATGGGAATTGACAGACAGAAAGGTATTGCCAAAAGTTCAGTTTGAAATAGCATAGACCGTTCAGAAGTCTATGAATCTGGTAATGCTAAACTGTAATGAATACCTGTGTGGAGATATATGTAACAGAGTGGATTTAATTGAAACTTTGGACAGGCATTAGATCGCTGTAGACTTTCTAAACTCATGTAATTTTCAAGGAGGTAAAGTAATCAGATTGAACTTTAGAAAAACACACTAACATTTGTTCACAGGAAATCTTAACTGGTTATAAGTTAAGGTGCTATGTCAGGAGTCAAATGTTCATATCTGTTCCTCTGGTAGGTAGCGCCCACAGGCTAGGCTGAGCCTCTCTTTTTGTAGGACATAATATTTGAGTTAAGTTTGGGGTGCCACCATTGATTTAATGTAGACTTAGTGATACTGGTTGTGCTGGCTGTAGTTCCGGGGTGTCATAGAAGCAAATAAGACATGTTCTCCTAGAGCTTATACTTCTGTGAATAAATATAAACTGCCTGAGGGATTTGCGGCAAGTAAGAAAACAGCGATGGCCATGGAAAAAATCAAGCAGGGAGATATGTTAGAGAACTTATTATAGGATATGAAAGTGATAGGAAGAAACACAGTCTATTGGCTGCAAAAATTTTCAGCCTTGTTTGGGTTAGTACCTTTCTTTACCATTGCTGTTCTAATAACACAGAGCAAGAAGCAAGAATGTTCAGCAGTCATACGTATTCATTCAAGAAATTAGTTTGGTTTTAGGTGATTTTTCTCATCCCTGACAACATTGACCAAAGCTTTTAAGTCACTGTTTTATATAGGCTGGCAAATGGTAAAATAATGTCACTTTTACATTTTGTTTTCTTTTGTTTTTTACAAAAAGTGTCATGATTGCCAGTGTTTAGAATAGGTCATATATATACAGACATATATGTGGTTAGGTATGTCAATATATATAATCCCTTTAAAGCAACATAATCATAATTAATACGTGTGTTGTAATTTAGTGTGTAAGAGTTATCTATGGAAGTTACATTTCCTCCTCTTCTGCTTTCATGGCCACTGAAATGTTTTATGATGTAACTTGTCTTTCTCTTAACATGCTTGTAAATATATGAGAGATCATGCTTTGTGGGTTTTTTTAGTATTCACATACAAACATTTAGGTTATCCTTTTATAAGTTAATGGCTTATTTTTAGAGGATCTGATTGGTGGACTTGCTTATAAATTTCTTTGAACTATTCAATTTGCAAGTAAATGGAGTTCTTTTAAAAGTGTTTATTAGATTATGTTTATATTTTTGTTTGTTTCATGTTCAAAAAAAGCTTATTGAGGTCAATATTATTTTTCACTTCATTTTATAGACCAGAAAACCAGGTACAAAAGGCTTAAATGATTTGTTCAAGGTCACAAATAATTTGGTAATTGTTGTCAGTTTATCAGGTTCTTTTCCTTTCTCAAATTTTATAGAAAATATATGATTACCTGATTTCTTTTCTATTGTAAAAAGCTGATTAAATTCAATATTTGAATAGCATTCAATATTTCATAAACTGTGTCTTAATAATCAGCATCTACCGTATTAGGTAGATATTATTGTAATTTCCATTTTATGGGTTCCAAAAAGGCAGCAATTTTGACAAAATTTATTACTTGAAGGATTGGAACAAGGTCTTTTGAACTCTTAAGTTGTTTTTTTTTTTTAACCAATTACAATTTTGGAATTTATACCTTTTTATCTATTTTTCAAAGGAGCTGCAATGATTTCATTTTTTGAAATGTTTTACTTTGGATGTTGCCTGAAAACCTGAAACTGAAATTTCTTAGCGACTTGTAAAACTCGTCTATTTTGAAATTCGATAGAATTCTCATTTTGAGGATAATTCAGAAAGGTTTATTCCTGAATCCTTAATTAGCCCTCTTTAAAAAATTTTTAGCAACTGGACTGGTATAATTTAGTTTAAATAAAAAAATCTGACATTCACCTTTTTCATATTTACTAATAGCAGACATTTTGCTCTTAACTATTGTTCTTCCCTCATATAAATACACACTAACTGTTTGAAATTGGTTTTGGGAGGCAGCGATGTATGTAACTCAATCCTTGATTTAGCATAATCTTAGTTACCACCTTATTTTCTCAACAAATTACTGTAATGATGTTTCTGACTTAAATACTTCTCCTTTCCATTGGAATATTCTTGGATGGTCCTGTCTTGTTAAGTTTTTTTTTTTTTTCCAAATACTTATGCTAACTCAAAGTTTAGTATATTCAAGTTTAGCATATTCAAGGGCAAGAATGGAGGAGCAGACATTTCATATATGGAAAAGGTCCGTCTACCTTTTTTATACATATTCACACATGTTATTTTTAGATGGTCTTGTTTCTGACAGATGATCCTTGAATTTGTCACTACCTAAGCATTATTTTCACAATATAGCTTTCAATACATGTGAGTTAAGATGTGTATATGTATGAAGAAGTTAGATGTTTTAATCCTGAATATGTTCTTTAAATTATAAGCTTTACTCATATTTCGGCCTGTTTTATATGTAGTTTAAATATAGAATTACTTGACAGTGCACTTTATTGCTTTGCTATTTCTCAGATTTCCACAGGACTTTATCATGTGGTGAGTGTGATAAAGTTTCTGTTAATGACCAAAGTTA